CATTTCTAGGATTTAGTTGTTCTGCTTTTGCTGTTCTTAGGACTTATACACTAGTCAGTTGTTACCAGACTGAGGCTAGTGCCTCCAACATTCTAGGATCTAGTTGTCACTACTTTTTGCTTTCCTAGGACATGTATGTTAGTTAGTTGCTCCTACTTTCACTTAGGCTGTAAGTTGTGACATTGCTGTTTTGTGACATTTTATATCCTAGGTTGCATCGCATGGACTCAGCATGGAGCTTGCTCCGCATCCTAGACTACTCAGTTTTTTTTTTCTTTGGTAGAGTTCCGCTTGTTGGCGGAAGCATGTTTGTATCTAGGCGATCCATCACAGGCCGAGGATCCTGTAGCGGACCTCGGGTTGGCCTGTGAGACCAGCCCCTTGGCCTATTCTCACAGGCCTGTGTTATATTCGGGGTAGGCCAGTCCAGGCCGGTACGTCTGTCGGTACCAGTCAGTCCAGTCCAGTCCCGTCAGTCCGCTGGGGTATACCCCAGCCATTGTCTGTTTTCATTCTCATTCCTCACTTGTACATTTTGGAGTACGTGCGTTGGAGTCTTGCGTGGGGAGCTGCGTTGTGCCATCTTGCTCCCCCTTCTTCCTCCATCTCCATCTCTATCACTAGCGGAGCACCACACCTGGTGGGTCCGCTACAGTCGAGAAGTTGAGAACCGTTCTAGTCGAGCACAGCAGCCGGTCACAAGGTGGGTATCCATGACAATGTAGGACGCCCGAGAAGACGGACCTCATACACAGTGTCTGCAGAGGTCATCGTCCGCATGCACCAACACCCATAGCCGACCGCCGGCATTCTCCCGTCCGCTCTGGGGTTCCTCATACTGGTTCTCCAGGAAGGGTGATGACGGCGACTGCGGCGGAGTCACCCCCGGTGATAGAGAGGATCATAGCGCGGTACTCCAGGAGGATGATGACGATGGTGAGGTGAAGGAAGTTACATCAATGAGCGAGAAGAAGAAGGCAATCAAGAGTCGTGGGAGGTCGAAGGCGAGGGAGCGAGGGGGGGATGTGGATGGCGATGGTGGGGGAGGGAGCATGTGGCAGAACTGGGGTTTGGACGATTCACTCGTCCTTGTTCACTGCAAGAGGAACCTTAACGATTACATGGCGAGCCAGGGCAACAACTTTGTGCGAATGAAGACGAAAACCTGGAAATGGAACGAAGCCGCCGAAGCGGATGTGCCAGCAGGGGGTTACGAATAGAGATGGGGATTTGTGCATAAAAAGATGTTGGCCTGTAGTCCTTTTTCCTACTGACATCGAAGAAACACAAAGAGCTGGGGTACAAGTTCACAATGGATCGACAACTGTACAATGCTATCCACGCGAGGCCGCACAAACGGCAAAACTGGGGTTTACACGATTCGCTTGTCCTCGTTCACTGCAAGAGGAGCCTCGACGATTACATGGCGAGCCAGGGCAGCAACTTTGTGCGAATGAAGACGAAGACCTGAAAATGGAACGAAGCCGCCGAAGCGGATGTGCCGCCAGGGGGTTACGAATAGAGATGGGGATTTGTGCATAAAAAGATGGGAGATTCAGGGAGAATATCTTTGGGTGGTACAAAAAAAATTGGGATAGGGAAAAAGACTCTGGCCTCTAGTCCTTTTCCTGCTGACATCGAAGAAACACAAAGAGCTGGGGTACAAGTTCACAATGGATCAACAGTTGTACGATGCTATCCACACGACGCTGCCCAAGTGGCAGAACTGGGGTTTGGACGATTCACTCGTCCTCGTTCACTGCAAAAGGAACATCGACAATTACATGCAGAGCCAGGGCAGCAACTTTGTGCGAATGAAGACGAAGACCTTGAAATGGAACGAAGCCGCCGAAGCGGATGTGCCAGCAGCTGGCAGCAGGGGGTTAGGAACAGAGATGGGGATTTGTGCATGAAAAAATGGGAGATTCGGGGAGAATATCTTCGGGTGGTACAAAAAAAAATCGGACAGGGAAAAAGACTTTGGCCTGTAGTCCCTTTTCCTGCTGACATTGAAGAAACACAAAGAGTTGGGGTACAAGTTCACAATGGATCGACAGTTGTACGATGCTATCCACGCGACATTGCCCAACAATCAGGCCATACACCCACCTAATCTACATGGCACCGGCGGACTTCCTCCTCAACAACCGAATGAGGGAGACCAGAGCAAAGCAAGAGGGCCGACTGTCGTCGGGGAAATGTCTGCTAGTGACATCATGGAAAGGGAAGCGGGGGATGGGGATGGCAGCAGGTCTTTGCGGGGCACATCTGAGGGGAAGCGGGAGAATGCACGACAACTGGCCTTCGATGCTGTCACGGACGTGATGAAGACACATTCGACGGTCGTCGCGGATTTTGTGGATCGAGAGGGAGACAGAGAGAGAGAGAGATGGAGGGAGATGAAATCACGGACGATCAATCCATCTGCGTCATCCCGCAGGGTGCATAAAAAATTGTTCTCGTGAAGTGGTTAATCCGTGAGTTCGGCGGACGACAATGCTGGTGTTGTTCGGATGCATACATATCTCCATTGAAACGTTTTCAGGTTGTGGTCGCCATCTTGTGCGGATCGAGAAACTGCGAGCAACAAAGAGGAAAGCACCAGAGAGAGAGAGTAGTACAAATGTATCTGATGCAGCCAATGGACCAGATACATTGGCACTTCTTTGTTGTAAAGCAACATAGAGAGAGAGAGAGAGAGAGAGAGAGAGAGAGAGAGAGAGAGAGACAGAGACAACTGCTGAATAAGGGGGGGAGTGGGTGGCAGTGGTGACGAGCGCATCGGTCTTGTACGGTTCCTCTCTCTCTCTCTCTCTCTCTCTCTCTCTCTCTCTCTCTCTCTCTCTCTCTCTCTCTCTCTCTCTCTCTCTCTCTCTCTCTCTCTTTGCTGCGCCCGCTCCCACTCCTGCTGCCGCCCGCTCGCAGCCTCACACCCGTTCATGCTCCCACTTCCTTTGCTGCTAGCTAGCGGCCTTACGGTCCTTACCTGCTTCCACTTCCGTTGCCGCCCTCCCTCTCTCTCTCTCTCTCGCGCGCGCGCGCGCGCGCCCGCGCGCACGCGCGTGCGTGCGCTCGTGCGCTCATGCTGAGTCATGCATGCATCTATGATGTGTGTGCGTGTGTGTGTTGACAGTGTTGTCACACTTGCTATACAAACTCCACAAAAAAACACGACTGTGCCAGACTTCTTTGTTGGACTTTCAACGAGTTGTCAGCAGGTTGAACCCCAACAATCTACAGGGGATGGATTTGACTGGCAGATAAGGACTCACGAGTCACTTCGTGGCTCGGAGTTAGCAAAACCTCTAAGAGAAGTGGTCAACTTTACATCAACCCTGCATTGGGCCTGCAATGCTTGGGGAAGTTGGAGGGAAGGGGGG